CAAGTTTATGTTTCTCCTTTGTTAATTGTAGTGAATTAAAAATATATACTGGAAGTGTAGGAGAGTAAAGTCAAATGTAAATCAGCGATTTCACTGCTGCTCCGGAATGGGGGAACTGTTTCAAAAGGCACAGCACTCCTGAAAAGAGAAAGTCATAAGCTTTGCTAAGAACTGTGGGTAGAAACTTGCAAAGAAAGCATGATGTCTCAAATATCTTTCTACATTACAATAACACTCTTTCATGTGGTTCAGAAAGATCATCATGCCCAAAAATTCTGCCTGTCTTGTCCTTCTCTCCAAGACAGAGAAAGCATGAGGTCTATATTAAACCGATGAGGAATGAAAGCTGAGAGAATCTGAGGCTGTGGTTAATGAGTCAGTCCTAAGAATAGGCAGATTTTTGTTAACATGCTGTGTGTTATCAGTGTGGGGGGGGTGACGTTGGGGGAAACAACAATAACAACGAAAACATGTACCTTTAAAACAAGCGCTGGGAAGGTGACTGCCTTATGGAGGTTTTCTCTGAAAGGCTGTGGGCCTTCCCTGCTCCTGTGCTAGCCACAAACATTAATTTCACTCAAGATGGAGTTAGGAACCCTGAAAGCACAAGGGGAAACAGCAAATGCCGGGTGACTATAAATCAACCCAAAACTTTGTTTTAGCCTTTTTAGTGCAGGTGACTTAAGTGATGCTTATGTGATAGGGATGAAGAGGATGGTTTCCCAGGGCAGCAAAGAATATGTGGTCCTTCTGCTTGGCACCTTGGCCAGCTGGTCTACCAACCAGGAGGAAGGCCCTTTCAGAAAGGAGGCCCAGGGCCCACTTGAATCATTTGGTCAACTAGTTGGCATTTTCCCCCCTATATATAATCTTTACATACTGTAAAATTCCTGCTTAATCCCTATCTAGTGAGTTTCAAATCTTGGTGTTGAATAATCAGTAGGCAAAAAGCATAAATGACTCTGACACTGATGATAAAATTTAGAATGCTTGTTTGCTTGTTTTTTTAATTCCTCCCCACCAAAGAAAGAAAGAATAAAATACTGCATTGGTAATAAATTTCTCAGACTTGATATGCTGTCTGTCCTTTTGGAAGATTGTGCCTGACTTAGGTTATCTGCAAATAAAAATTTTCTGCGATATTAACCAATGGGTAGTAGCTTCTACTTTTAGAGCATCACAGGCAGTTCAGAATGTAAGTTTAAGTGAAACCTGGTTAAATAACATAATCTTGGGCTTTACAAATGGCAGGTAAAGGGCCTTAGTAACAGTATGATAAAATTATAAACTACAGTCAGGGCTTCTCTACCTGGGTTTTCTTTTTATGGAAAACAAATAAATAAAGCCAAGTTAGCACATAGACATGTTTTATGCCTGCGGTCAGAAGCAGGCCATAACTTAATTTTTCTCACTCTCTTTAGAATGCATGAGAGGTCAGCACTTGGGCTCTGCATGTCAGTAAAATGTCTGGCTACTTCTAAAGAGTTCTGGCCTTAGTAAACCATGTTCCCTTCTATTCCCAACAGTCAGTTCAGTTAAAGAGTTAATTGTTGCTTCATAATATTTTAAAATATGTAAACAATTCAATTCCATAGGGTAAATGTTAGTCTTTCATTTATATTTGTGACTATCTTAATACATGTCTGCTTACCTGTAACTCTTATGAAAAAGGAAGTTTAGGTTCATTCCAATTTGGATAACAGTTACAGCCTGAGCATGTGAGACTAACGTTGAAGTGATTGTGTTGTTTGTATTTTAAACAGACCACAGCAGAAATGTTAAATGGTGATTCTAATTTATTTGCCCCAAATAAGAAATTCGAATTGTACTGATGGATTTCTCCCTTCACTGATTGTAGCTTTTAAGATCATCCTTTTGCGAAAAGTGAAATTCACGATGAAGCTTGGCTTATAAGCAAATTGGTGCCAGTTTTGATTTCCTTAGGCTCATTAACGGAATGAACTGTTAACCGGTCCAAGGGGTCAGAATGCTATTTCTTTACAATTTCCTCCTTCGATTTGGAAGGAATCTAGATGGAGGATTATTTTACTTTGACAAAAATATCTTGTGTTGAGGTAATTGTCACTTAAGAGCATTAAACAAAATGACATTATTTGACAGAAAGTGCTTCAATATTCTGTGCACACTTTGTATAGCTAAGAAACACTTGTAATTTAGCAACGCCTGCAGTGAAGAAAAAAATTGAAATTACCTGAGGGATCCTTTCCCAGCTTCCATGCATTTGGAAGTGAACCTTAAAAACACTTAACACATTAAAAAGCTAATGGGAATGTAAGAATGCAAAAATCTTTAAGGTAAATAGAGATTTGTTTGGGTTAAGACCTCTGAATCACATGCTATACTTTGTAACAAGGAAAATCTGGGAAATGTTCATTTGTGAAGGTATCATTTACAGTTATGTAAATTAATTCTTTCAACACAATGTACTTTAAGCCATCTAAATGTCAACCCAATATTAAGCATTTTGTGAATGGGTTCCCTAATATATACTAAGTATAAAGACAAAGTATTCTTTTAATAAAATATTGTTTCATTTTAGAAAATTTAAGATCTGTGTGTATACCTTATGAAGGAATATCATATCAAGGTGCATCATATCAACGATACATTTTTTTATCTCCTGGAAGGAGTTACTTAGAATTACATTAACTATTTTTACTTTGTTTTCCCTTTTTTAGAAAGTATTAAAATAATACTTTTTATATCATATCATAGCTTTGCACATGGAAAATAGCTCTTCCCCATGCTGTTGTTTCTGTGCATATATTTGATTGCTTAATGCAGATGGGCAATTTTATTAATGTCTACTTAGGTTTTTTAAATGTGCGGTTTTGAAGAATATTAATACAGTTACTTACAGAGAAATCTTAAAGCAGAAATTGTTGACATTTTGTGAAAAAAACTGAAGTAAGTTACTGGACTGTAAAAGAACCTATGATTTGTTTTTAATCAATGATTAAAAGAAATTCTAGCTGTTTTTCCTGTGCCATAATGATAGCGAGTTTACAATTAGATTTTGCATACATTGAGCAAAGTTGAACATGGAGTATTTGTTTTGTTAATGCGCCTATCTGCTGTATAAATCGGCTGTGTCTTTGCTCCTAGCTACCCTCAACCTCATTACAGATACCTATTACGTTCCTTCCCCCACGCCATAATGAGACTGCTTGCTGTAGCCTGATCTTCGCACTGAATTTAGTTTAAAAGTCTACAGGTTTATGGGCTACAGCTCTAACTTCTTCCCCTTCAAATTGCTTAGCCAGTTAAGAAAATGCTAATTGAATGCTGCTAATAATTTTTTAAAGGCATGTATAAATTACCTGGAAATAGCCTCATGGAAAGCAGCAGGCTAGCCACAAAAATATTTTTATTTCGTTTTTCTAGGCGAGGAGCAGTGGAATTTGCTGGGACAAAAAAAAAAAAAAATTTTTTTAATCAGATGACTGTTCAACTTGGTGCTGAATTATTCTTTTTCTAAACCTTAAAAGAAAAATATTAGAGACATCTTTAGCAAGTCCATGTGTTGGTGTTGGAGCAGTGTGTTTGTGGGACACTAGACTAGGGGATTTTTTGTTCTGGACTTCAATTTTGCAGTTTAGCAAAGGGCTGACTTGCCTGTGTTGTTGACTCTGTTTGGACTGATCTACTCCTGTCACTCCATCTGCAAGCTGATAAAAAAATAAAATAAAAAGTAAACCCAGCTCTGAGTCATGGCACTCTGGCTGGCACGCAAAACCAAGCAGTGGTGGGCATCTCTCCCATCGCAGTGACCCAAAAAGTGGGAGCCAGAAGTGTCACCCGGTGTCGATTTCTTGTTCCTGTACAGCTATTTATTTGATCAGGTGTGAATTAGAGTTGTTCATTAAACACGGCTGTTATTCGGCACAAGAGGGTTAGAGGAGACAGAGGAAGTAGCTGCCTACAACAGTAATTAAACATGTGTAACCAATTAGAGGCTTTTCCATGATGGTGCAAGCATATAATTTGCTAAGTCTTTCTATGAGAATAGATGAAAATAGGTACAAAAAGTATGTCTGACTACAACATTCTCATGTTAAACATGTCAACATAAATGAACTTTAAATATATAATTTCTAGTTTGTTAACAAACCACTGAGCTCTATTGGCTAATCACAATAACATGTAATTTTAAGTTCATTTTGCCAAGAAATATTGCATCTGACAGAGCCGATTAATTGTATTAAACATGATTCATTTTAGACCTAGCCTGTATTGATAGTCCTTTGGCAAACCCTAAAATGTAGCAGCCTGTGCCTCTGACAGGGAAAGAAGACACCACCGTTAGTGACTCCAACTAGCAGATCCAGAGAGATGGTTTTTCTGAGCAGAATTGTAAGAAGTACTTATATTTTCTTTGCTACATTCACAAATAACAACAGTATTTAGCTGAAATTTCCTACATGAAATAAATACCTATTGATTCTAAAGGTTCTGTAGGCTCAACATCAGATCAGCACTGCCTCAGCTGGGTTTAAAGATGATAATTCTATGGGCCCAGACCACACCACACTGGCTTCCTGTCAGGTGCTGATGTGTGGGAAAGGTTAAGGATTAGCTCAGCAATGTTAAGTGAACTGGCAGAGGCATCTCTAATTTTGTTGGAAATGAGGAAGCCCGGTGGTAAAGGGGAATCCTAATGAGCCCGTTGAAGGCTGGCTTTGTACCCGACAGACAGGGTGGCTGCGGATTGTATGAAGATATTGGAAATCGATGACTTCTATGGAATTTCATTAAGAAGCAGTATCCACAATTGATAGAGCCTCATAATTTGATGGATTGTGCTAAGAAAATGATTAGCTAGCTAGAAAGAGTCATAGAACACACACGCTGGGACGTCAGAAATGTTGAAGTGGGGTAATTTGTACAAAATAAAAAATATTGATTTTACTGATGTGCAAAATTTTGAAATGGAGGGCGGCTGTCTGGCGCCTGGCTGATGTAATCTCTTGGTTTTCTAGGCGTCCCCAGGGAAGGCGCGGAGGATGCGGACAGTGGCAGCGAGAGCAGGAGTGGCAGTGAGGAGACCAGTGTGTGTGAGAAGTGCTGTGCGGAGTTCTTCAAGTGGGCAGACTTCCTGCAGCACAAGAAGACCTGCACCAAGAACCCATTAGTTCTGATTGTACACGATGATGAGCCAGCACTGCCCTCCGAGGACTTTCCAGAACCTTCTCCGATCAGCTCTCCCAGTGACCGCACTGAGAGCGAGGCCACAGAGGAGACAGCACCTGCAGAGGGCAGCGAGATGAAGGCTGCTGGGAAGGAGGCAGAGCCCATGGACGTGGAGGCACCTGCAGACAAGGGCCCAGCAGGTCCTGGTGTTCCCCCACCACCACCAGCACTGCCACGGCCACCGGAGCCTGCAACCTTCAGCATGCCAAGTACCAACGTGACACTAGAGACGCTGCTCAGCACCAAGGTGGCTGTGGCACAGTTCTCACAGGGCACACGCACAGGTGGCACCGCAGGCACTGGTGGCAGTGTGGGCGCAGTAGCCATCCCCATGATCCTGGAGCAGCTGGTGGCCCTGCAGCAGCAGCAGATCCACCAACTCCAGCTCATTGAGCAGATCCGCACCCAGGTGGCCCTGATGAGTCGCCAGCCAGGGCCTCCACTGAAGCCCTCAGCTGGTGCCCCTGGGACAGCCTCCGGCCAGCTCCAGGGCCTGGCTCCCCACACAGCCCTCCAGCTTTCAGCTGGACCCCCCACTGCCCCTCCTGGCTCAAGCTCTGCAGCACCAGTGGCCTTTGAGGGTCCCCAGCACCTGTCACAGCCTGCATCAGGCACAAGCACGCCCTGCAGCACCAGTGCTGGCCCCACTGAGTCAGGGTCGCATCCAGCCTGCAATCCTGGCCCGGCTCCGGGGACAGTAGCTGCAGCATCCAGCATGGTGGGCAACACAGTACAGCCCCAAAATGCATCCACACCCCCTGCCCTGGGTACTGGGCCCCTCCTTAGCTCAGCCTCCAGCCTGCCAAACCCTCTGCTACCTCAGACCTCCTCCAGCAGTGTCATCTTCCCCAACCCGCTGGTCAGCATCGCTGCCACAGCCAATGCCCTGGACCCCCTGTCAGCCCTTATGAAGCACCGAAAGGGCAAACCCCCCAATGTGTCAGTGTTTGAGCCCAAGGCCAGCGCTGAAGACCCCTTCTTCAAGCACAAGTGCAGATTCTGTGCCAAAGTCTTTGGCAGTGACAGTGCGCTACAGATCCACTTGCGATCCCATACCGGGGAACGGCCCTTCAAGTGCAACATCTGTGGCAATCGCTTCTCTACCAAGGGCAACCTGAAGGTCCACTTCCAGAGGCATAAGGAAAAGTACCCCCACATCCAGATGAATCCCTACCCTGTCCCAGAATACCTCGACAATGTGCCCACCTGCTCGGGGATTCCCTATGGCATGTCTCTGCCTCCAGAGAAGCCAGTGACCACCTGGCTGGACAGCAAGCCAGTTCTGCCCACTGTGCCCACATCTGTAGGGCTACAGCTCCCTCCCACCATCCCTGGCACCCACAGCTACACTGACTCCCCAAGTGTTACCCCTGTCAGCCGCTCCCCACAGAGACCCTCTCCAGCATCTAGTGAGTGTACTTCTCTGTCCCCAGGCCTCAACAATGCCGAGTCTGGCATTGCAGTGACAGCTGAGTCCCCACAGCCCCTCCTTGGTGGGTCTTCTCTGACTAAAACAGAGCCAGTTAGCCTCCCTTGCACAAGTGCAAGGACAGGGGATGCTCCTGTGGTGGGTGGACAGGTCAGTGGATTGCCTACTTCTGCTGCCACCACAGTCACGGACAGCGCCTGCACGAGCCTGGGTAGCCCTGGTCTTCCAGCTGTCTCTGACCAGTTCAAAGCCCAGTTTCCCTTTGGAGGACTACTCGACTCTATGCAAACGTCAGAGACCTCAAAACTGCAGCAGCTAGTGGAGAATATTGATAAGAAGATGACCGACCCAAACCAGTGTGTCATCTGTCACCGCGTGCTGAGCTGCCAGAGTGCTCTGAAGATGCACTATAGGACACACACAGGTGAAAGGCCCTTCAAATGCAAGATCTGTGGCCGCGCCTTCACCACCAAAGGCAACCTGAAGACACACTTTGGGGTGCACCGTGCAAAGCCCCCACTCCGTGTGCAGCACTCTTGCCCCATCTGCCAGAAGAAGTTCACAAACGCTGTGGTACTGCAGCAGCACATCCGCATGCACATGGGGGGGCAGATCCCCAACACACCGCTGCCAGAGGGCCTTCAGGACGCCATGGACGCTGAGCTGCCCTTTGACGAGAAGAACACGGAGACCCTCAGCAGCTTTGATGACGACATTGACGAGAACTCCATGGAGGAAGACTCAGAGCTGAAGGACACGGCCAGTGACTCGTCCAAACCGCTCCTGTCTTACTCGGGGTCCTGCCCACCCTCACCTCCGTCAGTCATCTCCAGCATTGCTGCCCTGGAGAATCAAATGAAAATGATGGACTCAGTCATGAACTGCCAGCAACTGACCAGCTTGAAGTCAGTGGAAAATGGATCTGGGGAAAGTGACCACCTGAGCAATGATTCCTCATCTGCTGTGGGTGACCTGGAGAGCCACAGTGCAGGCAGCCCCGCCCTGTCTGAGTCCTCTTCTTCCCAGGCTCTGTCACCTGCCCACAGCAATGGTGAGAGTTTCCGCTCCAAGTCCCCAGGCCTTGGTCACCAGGAGGATCCCCAGGAGATCCCGCTGAAGACTGAAAGGCCCGACAGCCCAGCCCCAGGCCCGGGAAATGGAGGTGCCCTGGACCTGACAGCAGGCCATCCTGGGCGGCCCCTCATCAAAGAAGAGGCCCCATTCAGCCTACTGTTCCTGAGCAGAGAGCGGGGTAAGTGTGCGAGCACTGTGTGTGGTGTCTGTGGCAAGCCCTTTGCTTGCAAGAGCGCGTTGGAAATCCACCACCGCAGCCATACGAAGGAGCGGCCGTTTGTCTGCATGGTCTGCAGGCGGGGCTGCTCCACTATGGGTAACTTAAAGCAGCACTTACTGACACACAAGTTGAAAGAGCTGCCTTCTCAGGTATTTGACCCCAACTTTACTCTAGGTCCCAGCCACAGCACGCCTAGCCTGGCCTCCAGTCCTGCGCCCACCATGATCAAAATGGAAGTGAACGGCCACAGCAAGGCCATCGCACTGGGTGAGGGCCCACCTCTACCGGCCGGGGTCCAGGTCCCTACTGGGCCCCAGACAGTGATGAGCCCTGGCCTGGCACCCATGCTGGCACCCCCACCACGCCGGACACCTAAGCAGCATAACTGTCAGTCATGTGGGAAGACCTTCTCCTCAGCCAGCGCCTTGCAGATCCATGAGCGTACCCACACTGGGGAGAAGCCCTTTGGCTGCACCATCTGTGGCAGGGCCTTCACCACCAAGGGCAATCTCAAGGTAAGAGGGGCATAGGCTTGAGACTGTGGCCAAGCCACACAGGCACATATGGACAGTGCCCTGCACCCTCGCATAGGGTACATGGAAGAGATTGTTCTCACCCTCACATGTATGTGTGTGCACACATGTAGGTGTGGGGTGGGTTGTTTATGCATGTGCAGTATGAGTGTATAGTGTGGGCATGTGTATGTACATGCATATATGTATAGTATGTGTATGTGCATGCACGTACATGTGCACACACAAGATGTGCATCCCATTAAGCAGCAGTAAGCAAAACAGGAGTCTCTGTTCCATCCACAGGGAACATGTCTGCCTGTGCTTCTCTGATGGCTTTAGTGGTCATGACACACACTGAGCAGGCCTAGGTCACAAAGCTCCCTTGAATCTAATAACAAACTTGGCCTTAAACACATATAATACAGAGATGACACTTGCTCTGCAAGTTTTGGAATATCCTATTAGCCATGTGGTTGCTGACAGGACCCCTAGGAGGGGCACTGAATGAGAAGTTTCCCAGCATGTAAAGCCTGGAGAAAAACAGACGCTGTGTTGTGTTCTTGCTTAAAACCAACCATGGCAGCACTTTGTATCTTCCTCTGGAGACTGAACTTTGGCAGATGTCAACTTTTCTAGGTTCTGAGCTGTCATGTTAACCTGACCTTAGCTAAACATAGATACCACCTGTCTGGGTCTCAGCAGCCTCTCCAGAGGAAACTAAAGGGCAATACCTGTAGCCTCTGTACTGCACGAGCACTTTTAAAACAAGAGCTGCCTGGGAACCCTGCTGCTGTGGTTGACCCAGGGGTATCTTAGAATTAATTCTTCCCATTTGAGAGAAAGCAAAAGAAGAGAAGGGACACAGTCAAACAAAGATATTTTAAAAGTTGGAGAGGGCTGAGGAGATAGGTACGTGGCAAGTTCCATGCCAGTGAGAGACCCTGTTTCCAGAAAACAAGGTGAACCAGTCCTGAAGAATGACACCAGAGATTTTCCTTTGACCTCCATGTGTATATCCACACAAAGCCGGGGAGCAGATAAACAGGGAACCAAGGTCCTTTAGCTTTAAAGCTCTAGAACATTCACTAGTGTTCTTATGGGATTTATACCTGGGGGTGGGGGATATCTTAACAGGTTTGTTAACTGAAAGACGACATTTGTTAACTTATGTGCTGGTTTTGCTTTTTGTATTCACAGAATGAAATATTGCGTGTATAGTACAAGATGCTCAGGAAAGCTCACCTAACAGTATTCTGTTGTCCCCAGGCTAATGCTTAGGATGGGGATAATACTTATGGAAACCAAGACATAACTGCCTCACAGTTCTAGACTGGCTTACTTGTGGATTGTCTCTCTGTGTCCCCTGCAGGTACACATGGGCACACACATGTGGAACAATGCACCAGCAAGGCGTGGCCGCCGCCTCTCTGTGGAAAACCCCATGGCCCTGCTCGGTGGTGATGCACTGAAGTTCTCTGAAATGTTCCAAAAGGACCTGGCAGCCCGGGCAATGAATGTTGACCCCAGCTTTTGGAACCAGTATGCTGCAGCCATCACCAACGGACTTGCAATGAAGAACAATGAAATTTCTGTCATCCAGAATGGAGGCATCCCCCAGCTCCCAGTAAGTCTAGGCGGAGGTGCTATTCCGCCTTTGGGTGCCATGGCCGGTGGGGTGGACAAGGCGCGCACTGGCAGTAGCCCACCCATTGTCAGCTTGGACAAAGCGAGTTCAGAGACAGGAGCCAACCGGCCGTTCACGAGGTTCATTGAGGATAACAAGGAGATTGGGATCAACTAGCTGGCTGCACTAAGACTCCATCCACCTGTTCTGTCCCAAGTCCACACTTTACAGTTTGAGCATCAGGCTTTGGACCCAACATGCCTAAATTCACACTAATATTTTGCCCATGACAGAAAATACTTGCACCATGGCTACTGTGAAGTGGCCTGGTGAGTGCTGCACAGTACTTCCTTCAGCAGTGGATTTGACTGTTCTTAAGAACTCTGCAACCTCTCAAATTCCAGACAGAAGCAAAAGTGCTTGGAAAACTGCCTTAGGACAGAAAGAGCTCAGACCATATCTACTTCGTTTCTCCTAAAACTTAGTGACCCCGGAAAATGGGGTCCCTTGTGGTAATCCAGTGAGCCCCATTCAATGGTTTTGTTCAAATTAGGTAGAAACTTGAACTATGTTTTAGGAACTCTTCGTCTTTAAGAAGTGGTTCAGTGGTACAAACGCTGTGTATTACGACAGTGTCTTCGTCCGTAGTATTTATAATGTTAAGATTATGCGGGTAACAGACAATAAAATAGCCCCATCCTTAAATGAAGCTTTTGTACTGCAGAATACATCTGGCTATGTGATATTTTTTTTTTTAAGCAAGATTTGCTTTACTATAAATAAGTGGATTAATTCAATGCAGGCAAAATTGTGACGTTCTATTGGGAAAGATAGCATGCTTTTTGTGTGCAAGTACCTGTCAGTAACCCCCCCCTTTTTTTTAAATTTAAATGTTTGTAGCTGCTATGTGAACAGTTGTTCTCTAGTGTGGTCTGTAGCCCAGCGGCTGAGTGGGGAACAAGTTACAGACAAACATCACCGTAAATGATTCACAGCATTATAAACAGTTGTGAGTAACTATTTCACGTTATCAAAGCTGTACAATAAAGAGGTAATGTTTGTATAATGTGGTTGCAAATCTTAATTTATACAATTGCACTTTTAGTATTTTGTATTAGGGAGGTTTGTCTATAATTTGAAAATTTAAAAAGATGTAAAGTATTTTATAAATAGTACTTCGGTTTAAAGAAAATGGAAAAAAAATCCTGTCACAGTTTATTGTTTTGTCTTAAAGTTAAACAACATGAGAAATCTATGCTGCTTAAGCAGAAAAACCACCAAGACTTGTCAGCACCTCAATAAAATAAGGCCTGCCATTTCTTAAATTAACATGATTTATTTAACTTTTCTACAAAGCCCGTTTAAAAACTGTGAGCACCCTAACAAAACTTTGACAAATTAATCTGGGACATAGTATAAGCCAGGAAACAACCAGGCAAACATGGTATAGGTGTGATTTTACTGTAAGCTCTCCTGTCTTTCTCACACACACAAACAAGATGTGACTGCCTCATAGCACTGTTCACTGTGTAAATGAGACAAACAGCAAGTGTCTGGCAGTATAATCAGTCATAACTTTGGCATTTTCTGAGTTCATGATTTATTGTCTTTTCAATGCAAACAAATTGAAGTGTCCTCTAATTACTCAAAATACCATTGTTTGCTGATGACTGAGGAAAGAAGCCAGATGCTCAGAGGTGGGCCTGAATCAAAACTTGAATGTCAGTGTTGTGTGTTCTACCTCATTTTTGTGCATCACAAGCATGCTGGGGTGTGACATTATAAACTTCCAACAGAATTGCTCAAGAGATATTGTAGGTAGCTGGGTACCAGGGCAGGGAGTTGTCTGCCTAGGGGCCAAAGCAGACAGTGTAAAACAGAAAAATAGATCAGTTCCCTCACACAACTAAACCAACAGCAAAAGGCAGTGCAGAGGAACACACTGCCACCGGCCTGTATGGCTGAGCAGAGGGCTTCTGGGGCTCATTAGCCATTTGTGTCTGAAAGTGAACACTGAACTCTATGAATCTGTTTTCCACGTGGTGAAGTGTGACACCCCGCCCCAGGTCAGCCCTCATGCCATCTCCTCGAAATGGGACTGGGTGCTTCAGCATTAGGAAGAGGAAGATAAGGTGGCTCAATGTTGCTGTGCGTTGGCAGTTGAATGTTTTGTTATTTATCTGTGTCCTTTTGGTGTTTATTTTTCCCCTCTTGGTTGGTATTTGGTACCATGTTAGTGTCCTTCCTTCTCCCAAAAGGATGTGTATATAACTTAAGAAAAGAGAAATGTAAAGTGTTATAAATGAGATGGCTGATGAAGGTGCAGTGGCCACCCCCATTCGGTATTCAGGGCTGGCTATCCCTCTGCGTGGTGAAGAGAGACATTATTTTTATACCACAAAACCACGTGGGGTGAGGGCCTCCCAGAACCAGTCGGGGTGTTTCGTAGATCCAATATATTTTATGATTAAATCTTGTGGCTTGACACATCTACTGACTGAAATGGATGTCTTAGTGTAGGTTACTATTTTTGTCATATGGAATTGAATAAAATGCAGGATGTCATATTATTTCTGAATTGTGTTCCTTGATTCTTCTCACAGAAAAGTGGAATTTGTGGTGGTGGTCGCTCGTGATGGATGCATATGTCTGTGGTGTTTACAGGGGATGTCAGCATGGCCTGACCACTTAGATTTAAGCAATATCTAGGAGTGCTTTGATGGGTCTTTTTTTTTTTTTTTTCCCCTCTGGTTCTGGGGATAGAACCCAGGGCCTTGTTACATATATGCTAAACAAGAGCTACATTTTTTTTTCTTTTTTCCAAAATAAAAATGCATCTTCCTAGTTGTGGATTTTTTTATTTTCACATCTGCCGTGGTAGAAGATACCTGACAGAGAATCTGCAGTGTCTGAAGATGGCCATGCTTGAGTGAACATACTAGCTCTTCGGGTTGCTTGGACAAATAGATGTGCATCAGATCACTCTCTAGGAAGTATAGAAGGAGGCATATGTTCACGGGCACCATGCACAGCAGACTGCGTGTGTGCTTCAGCATCAGCCTCTGTCTACTCCCAGTGGAGGCATTGTTTATTTTGAAATTAGCTTTATCTCACATATAACATTATAAGACATAACTTTAACAATTTTAATAGCTCCTAGACACTGTTATATAATCCATTTAATATTAAAAAAGTTAATGATACTCAAAGCTGCAGTGACTTTTATCTGAACATATTGGAAGAGATTTTTTTTTTGGCACTAACCACTAATCAGCCTGGCCAGGCTGCCCTTCACAGTTCTCAAGTCTTAGAAGTTAAACTGTGCTGATGTCAGCACTACAGTAGGAATTATCAAGCTTAAAACTTAGATAGTAAATTTGATTTTATAAAAACAGAAATAGCAGTGGTGGCACATGCCTGTAGTCCCAGCACTCAGGAGGCAGAGGCAGGCAGATCGCTGTGAGTTCAAGGCCAACCTGGTCTACATAGTGAGTTCCAGGACAGCTGGGGCTACAGGGAGACCCTGCTTCAAAAAGACAAAAAAAAAAAAAAAAAAAAAAGAGAGAAATAGCAAAGATTCTACAGATGTTTAATAAATTAACATTCAAGAGAAAAGGGACTTATTGCTTCTATTTCAAAAATAATTTTAAGCAGCAAATCAGAGATGTCAGCCTTCTGCTTCTAGCAACAACTCCAGTTACTTAAACCCAAAAGAATCATAAATGGCATTATTATTTAATTGCATTTCTATCCTAAGTTCATTACAGAAACTGTTAACATTTAAAACTAATTAAAAGCTTTGTTAAAGGGCCAAATAGGAATGTACTTCAAACTCTGTTCTTTAATCATGTCTCCATGGATAAGGGAAGGCTGGTGCATCCCACCTGCTTCTCCCTGTGGAGCAGACAGTACCCAGTCTGTGTCATGTTTCATAACCTTAGCAAACGCCAGGCATTTCTTTATTCCTAGGCAGTGTCTGTGCTTCCAGCCTACCAATTTTAAACTACTGCAATCCCTCGGCTGCCTATCTCTTGCCACAGACTTCTGAACACTTCATTTCTTCCCCCAGCACATACTTGAGGCGAAACATTCCTGTGGTTCCTTGTCCAGTATGTCTCCACTGCGCACACCCCTACCTTCCTTTGCTTATTTGCTAATTATCAATGTTGAGGTGGCATGAGCACTTGATTATTCTGTTAAAGTTTCATACAACTCAGTGCTTCACAGAAGGAGAGAATGGTGTACATTTATATCTGTTGGCTAATTTGGGCAATGTTAAAATTTGATCTACAAAAATACTTCACGTGATACCAGGAAGTACTGGTATTAACTCTGAACATTCTTTACAAAGGAGGAGCCTTAAGAACAAGTTACACTGTGGGCATCTTCAACACCTTGAGTCAGAGGCATGGCGTGACCAGGTCTTCCTGTGTCCCTGCAGTGTGCTCTGCAGAGGATCCAGGCAAGAACTGGAGCGCACAGTGTGTCTGTCAGGAGGAACATCCTTCCTTCCCCTCACCCTTCCTAGTTTTAAATTTTCATTTTTTTTAAAAGCCACTAATGCATATCTTCCCTGTCAGAACTTACTGGACAAAGTAATTGGCCATATTTGTATAGAAAAGAGAGATACAGTTGCCTAAGAATATTATTCTGTAATATGAAAATTCTGCAGAAAACTTCTGAAGAAATTCTATGGAATTGTTTTTGGACCATGAAAATGTGTTTGCATCTTTAAGCAGAAAAAAAAAAAAAACCTCATTGAGTTTATCAGTGCATTTAAAAACATGCAGCAATCACATTCTGTGACTATTACGCTGACTTAATTTTCTATGCGAAAAGAGATTTTTACATGGTTTGACTTTTCTGTGTACATTGCATAAGACGTACACAGAGTTGTGCATGTGTACATGCGCACACACAAGTGTGCACACCCCCAAGGAGGATGCATATATTCAAAACAGTATGGAACTTGAAGTGGTGGCTATTTCCTTGTCTTTAAAAATATTAGAGGCGCTAAATCATTTTCACTTGTAGCAGTCTGATTTGTAATACTGTCTGCATCCATCCTTTCTGGAAGCATCTCAGTTTGTAATTTAGACAAGGCCGTTTTGGGTGCATCCACTCGGAGACATGGCACAGCATTTCTGGGCTCAGGAAAAAGCCGGTGGAAAAATGAGGAGGGCGGTAAGACAGGAAGAAGGGATGTCACTGGTGTCAGCACGTGTGCATTCTGCTACATCACCAATAAATGGAAAACAGATGACTAATGGGCCCTACTCATGGAATGAGAAAGAACCTGACCACGTCAATGTGATCACCCGCTGTACATGACTCAAACATGGAAATAAATGTTGGATTATAATTGTTCCGGATGTGATTGTTAATTGCAAACAAGGGGCTTCTATAACTTACCCTCACATACTTTCTAAGTTGGTATGTCACAGATTTTTTTTTTAATTCTAGAATGATCTGTAGACTAGAATTTTTATGAAGAATCATGAGTCATTGTCTTCACTTTTCACCCATGGTATTTTAAGCCCTTGCTGGTTTCATTTGTTTGTACTCTTCCTAGGTTAACTTCAAGGACACAGATTTAATACGAGTAGGGTTAAAAATATTTAAATGACAAAGATCACCACTTTTTTTTTTAGAACTAGTAGATCTTTGATTATACTTAAGATACAAAATGTTTGTTTTGATTTTTTCCTGTGTTACATCAAGAACAATTTAAGAATAACTTTAAAAAAATAATTTATTGAATATTTCATACATGCATATAAGGTGTTTTGCTCAAATCCATACCCACTCCCTCCCCTCCAACTCCTCCCATATCTCCCCATCACTTTTCTGATAACTTCATGTACTCTTTCTTTTTTTTTAAAGAATAACTCTTATGATCTTAATTTACCTATAAGAAATATGTGGTGTCCTCTGGGCCAACATTGCTGCTGAAGAAAAACAGGCGGACCTGGAAAAAATATGACCAAAGCTTTAGGAATAATTTCTGAAAAAGTGCTAAGGCCTTCCCCACACGTTCAAATCA